CAAGAGCCCCCAAATGCCCATAACTACTTCAGCACTATCAGACATGAAGGGACTGAGGGGAAGTTGGGATAAAAAGAGACCATGGTCTTAACCATTTGTGGTCAAAATATCTAATTTTTGCAAATTTTATTTTCATCTTTCATGATGTGACCACATTGCTAGGGGGTTGTACATGAGGGGCCTTAAAGCCTTTGCTCATTCACTTCCTGGAAACTTTGACCCAGCTTCCAGGGCTCAAATGCCGCTTTCTATTCTTAACACAGGGCCCAAAGTGATCCCATAAAAACTTAAGTCAGATCATGTCACACTTCTGCTTAAAAGCCTGCAATGTTTTCCGACGTCACTTCGAGTAAAAGTCAACAGTCCAGATGGCCCTGTATGACCTGGCTCTTTGCCTTTCTAACATCACCTCTTGGTATGCAGCCCTTCCTCACTCCACTCCAGCCTCCTACGCTTTCTGGAATGGCCAGGCACGCTCCCCAGGGGGTCTTGAGTTTACTGTTTTGCATCCTGGACTACTCCCAGATATTCTCACGGCTCCCTCTTGCCTCCTTCAGGAAACCTGGCTTGACCCATTCCCTCACTCTTCCCTATTTCTTTCCCCTGCTTCAAATTTCTTCATAGAGCACATCACTATCTAAATGCTATGCGTTGTGCCTGGCCTGCGTGGTTCAGTGGTTAAGGGTCAACTTATGAACCAGAAGGTCATGGTTGAATTCCCAATCAGGACATATGACTGGGTTGCAGGCTCCATCCCCAGTGTAGGGTGTGCTGGAGGCAGCCGATCAATGATTCTGTCTCATCATGGATGTTTCTCTCTCTCTCTCTCCCCATCTCCCTTCCTCTCTGAAATCAATAAAATAAATAAATACCACATGTTGTGATTGTCTGTCTTTCTCCTCCAGGATGTGAGCTCCACGAGGTGCAAGTCTTTGTTCTGTTCACTGCTGTGCCCCGATGCCTACAACAGTGCCTGACACATGACTGATTTCCGGTCAACGCTGGGGCCTTCGCCTTAAACTCTCCTTTTTCTAGCCCCGCCGGAAGCCCGCAGGATCACCTTCTGAGAAAGATCAGTGAAAGTACACTTACTGGAAGGCCCATGTCCCTAAAAAGGGAAGAGCAAAGGTGACAGAGGGACTGGGTTTTCTAGCATTTGAGCAAGTGGTGTTTACAACGAACCGTGTTCTTGTGAAGTGAATCACCGGAGGATTTGATCCCTGACCCCTCCACCTCCTCCCCTGTCCCCAAAGGGTTATTGTGGTATTATAGCAATAAGAAATTGCCAAATTATGTAATATAATTTCTTTTCCAAGTTCTAAGGAAAAAAACGACATTTGAAAGGTTTGTTCTTGTTTATTTCTTTTCGTTTTTCTTCCCCCTTATGACTTAGAATAAAATGAATAAAAAAATGTTACAGGAAAGTGAAAAAAAAAAATACCAACAGGTTTTTATTACAGCATCCTACTTGGTCAATGAGGTGTTGGCATTCGGTGTGATAATAAACTTAGTCACCTGACATCCCCTCTTGGTATCCAGCCCTTAGTGCCAGGAAGACAATACTGCTTGTAAATACAAAACATTTTTAGATGTTAACACAATCAAATATTTTTCAAAAAGTTAAAAAATACAAGTAAAAACAATGATTTATATAATTTCTCTACCACCACAGGAAAGCTGGGATTTTTAAAAAATATATTATCTTCTAATTTTATTCTCATATACATCTACTTTCTCACTGTGGTATAAAACACACAACATAAATTTACCATCTTCATCATTTTTTAAGTGGACAGTAGATTTGTGCATACATTTTTACATACATGTTCTATTGGTACTTACTGTATCCTGACTTTTTCTCACTGTACCTCATATCAAATAAACCTTCCATGTGCCAAATTTGTCTGATGCTTGTAATTTTAAAGATGCACAATGTTTCATTCTATGACTATGACATGTTATTGAACCGTTCACCTATCATTAGACATTTATGCTGCCTACAAATGTTCATTCTTCAACTGTTATGAACTTTTACTGCATATAGTATTTTCTCTTTAGTATTTTCAATGCTCTTCCTAGCTTGATTTTTCTGGAAGTTTTCTAGGGAAAACAAAGTAAGAAGCAACGAATCTTGCCTGGCTCTTAAAAATTACAACAAAATTGTTTTCCAGTTGGTTTGTACCAATTTATAATGATGCCAGTGAAATATGACAGTTCTAATTTCACCACTGTCACTGGCATTTGATACAGCCTTGATTTTTGTTAATTAAATATTTTTTCTCATTTTAATACATTTTTTTATATCTACTTTCCTTATTCTATTGGGAAATGCCAGTTCATGCCACTTGTGCAGTTTACTTTTGGGAGGTTATCTCAGTACTTATTTTGTTTCTTTTCATGGACTGTACATATACTATAATAGAAATTTTAACCCTTTCTCAGATTTACCATGAATATTTCCCCCATCTGTTTGTTTTTTTTTTTTAAATAGATTTTATTGACTTTTTACAGAGAAGAAGGGGGAGAGAGCTAGAGAGCTAGAAACATTGATGAGAGAAATATCGACCAGCTGCCTCTTGCACACCCCCTACCGGGGATGTGTCACAACCAATGTACATGCCCTTAACCAGAATCGAACCTGGGACCTTTCAGTCCGCAGACCGACGCTCTACTACTGAGCCAAACCGGCTTCGGCCCATCTGTTTGTTTTTAAATCTTCAGTCACAACTGTCATCTAAAGCAATTTAACATTCTTTTGCGGCTCACATCTTCCCAGTGTGATTTCCCCTGTCCCAGGTTGTCTCAGAAAATTCTCTTCGTGGTATTTTTAAAAAATTTGATATAGGATTTGATTCTGTTTTACCTTCCTAGTTTTCTTTTCTACATCTAATTATTTCATCCATTCATTTTGATGTATGAGGTGTAGGTCAAACTGATCTGTTCCTCAAATGTTAACTAGTTAACCAAGCCTCCTCCTTGGAAGAGAGTTGAAGGAACCCTTGAGTGACTAGGACAGTGGGCCTGTCATAGGAGGAGTCCTCGTGTGCTCCGCGCGGTCCCAGGCCACGTGGGAGCTACAGCCCCAACGGACGAGGAATGGTAAGTGGCTCAGTGGGAACAGAAAAGTGGCGACTACGGGAATCAAGTGTGGGACGGCACCTAATGCCCACTGTTTTTACCCCTTTTCCTTCATAAACATGTCAGCTTGACCCAAAGGTCTTCCTATCTTGTTAGAGTCCTTTTTCTTTCTTTTTTTAAAAAAATAAATTTTATTGATTTTTTTTTTTTTACAGGAATAGAGAGGGATAGAGAGTAGAAACATTGATGATGTGCCCACAACCAAGGTACATGCCCTTGACCGGAATCGAACCTGGGACATTTCAGTCCGCAGGCCTATGCTCTTTCCAATGTGATTTCTCCTGTCCCAGGTTGTCTCAGAAAATTGTCTCCATGGTATTTTTTTAAAATTTGATATAGGATTTGATCCTATCCACTGAGGCAAAGGGGCTTCGGCTAGAGTCCTTTTTCATTTGCAAGAGTGAGGGCTGTCGGTTGATAGATTTACTGCAAGAGATTTACTGAGTCCTGTGCCTGTGTGGGACGACTACGCGTTATGCCCAAGTGAAGACAAGGAGATGAGGAGGTAAGTCGAGGCGGACAACCTGGTGTAGAGATGGCTCCGCTGTGGAGAATAGAGGGTGGGGAGTCCACCTCCTGACCTCAGCCTTGCGCCGCCACCCTCCGTGCAGCTGGTCAGACCCCCTGCCCTCACAGACAGACAGAACTCTCCCCAGCCTTTGCACGGAGCCGGAATCCCACCCGGAGAGCCACGTGCACCGATTGGGAGTCGGAAGCGCCCGCCTCCACCCCCCTCCTCAGCCCGGGAGCCTGGAAACTTGAGCGGCCGCCCTGGGCCGCCATCTGACCCTTGGTCCCGGTCCCCACCGCCCACACCGGTTCCGGGGTCTCTCTCTCGCGCGGGGCTCACAGGGTGCAGACGGCAGACCCTAACCGCCTGCGGTCTTCTTTCTGGGACCGTCCTTGTTCGGCGCTGCCTGACTGCAGCTCCCCACGGCCCGCAGGTGGAGGGGAAGGCGCGGCGTCCCTACCCCGTCCCCAGCTCAGCGCGAAGTCACCCCTCTTAGGCAGAGCGGCTGCCACTTTAATCTTGTAAAAGAAAAAAGAAAGAAAAGAAAGAGAAAAACACAAAAACGGTCGGAGGTCCAGGTCCCCAAACCTGTCAACGGTGGCGTCCACCGCGAGAAGTTTGCTCTCAGGGAAGCCAGGCGGTGCTGCTCCCGAGGGCAACCACCTCCCCCCGCACCCCCACCTCCTCCCCCACCTTCACCTCCCCCCCCTACCCCTACCCCCCGAGGGCATTCATCCCGGGGCGCCCCTGGCTCTCGGGGCGCTCGGTGGGCTCGGGAAAGCCGGCTGTCTCCTCCCGGGACCTGAGCCTCCCGGGCGGGGGTGGGGGGTGGGGGGCGCGGGGGCCCCCAGGGCGGCGGAAGGAGGGAGAGGGGCGCCCTCCCCGGTGACTGATCCCCCGGAGAAAGTCCCCCAGGACTGTGTGACCCTTGCGCTGGGGGAGGCGGCGCCGATGCGCAGGAAGATGCCGTGATGGGACCCGAGGGGGAAAAAACCACCAAACCCCAAACCTCCCACTTGTGTTTCTCACCCCGATTCCCGGAGAGCGGCCGAGGGACCCCACACCGGGCTGCGCCTCGCCCCTCCCCGGCCCCACCCCGCCCGGTGGGGGGCTTTGCCTGCCCTCGGGGTTTGGGGGGCCGCCACGTGACTTCCATGCAGGGGGGCGGGGCGGCGGGATCGGGGACCCCGAGGCGCGGCCCCCGGGGAGGAGACGCGGCGGGACGGGCGGAGGGGCGGGCGGACTCGGACGGGAAGGGCCGGGGCGGGCGCGGGGAAGCCCGGGCGGCGCAGCGGCGGCGGAGGGCCGGGGCGGGGCGGGGCGGGGCGGGGCCGGCAGGTGCGGGGCGGGGAGGCCGCGGAGGAGCCCGGGGCAGGGCCGGCGGGCCGCGCGGCCGGGCGGCGGTGCGGACGAGCGCCCGGCATGTCGCAGGGGCTCCCGGCCGCCGGCAGCGCCCCGCCCAGGAGCGTCGTCGCGGCGCCGGGGAACCAGTCGCAGCCGCAGGTTAGAGAGGGAGCCGGGGCTGGGGAGGTTCGGGAGGGGGGGGGGGCGCGGGGAGGCGGTGCGGGTCCCGGAGTGCTGGCCGCGGGCCGGGGCCGTGGGGGGACCGGGGTGCGAGCCTTATCCAGGGGGCGCGTGCCAGGATCCGCGGCGCGCAGCGCGGTGACCCGAGGGCGCCGGCGCCGGCCTGGGAGGCGCCCGGGCCGCGTCCCCCCGCACGTGGGGGCCGCGCGTGGCCCTCTCGGAGGGGGACACTCAGCCCGAAGGGGCAGCTCGCGCCCAGGCGCTCCGACCTCTGTCTCCCCTTCCCCGGCCGCGGGCCGCCGCCAGAAGGGGGAGCTCGGGCCGGTCAGCCCGGGGACGCGGGGCGCGGGGCACAGGGCGGGGGGCTCCACCCCCGGCGCCGCTGGAAGCCCCTCCGCGCCGCCCCGCAACGTGGACCGCTGCGTCCTCGGCACCGGAGACCCGGCTGCCCGCGGGGACGGCGGTGGGAGACTTTCCATCGGCTGCCTTGGGACTGAGTCTTTCCTGCATTATGCCCCCCCCCCCCACACACACCTCGGGGTGGGCAAATGGTGTCACCGGATGATACTAGAGAGTCCCCCAAGGCACAGGTCTGAGTTTGCGCCTGGCTTTGCCACCCAGGCTGGACAGCCATCGGCAATGTTATTAACCTCGTCGGTCTGCGGTTCCCCCCACCTGCAATAGGACGTGTAATAATTCCAGCCTCTCGTGATTTCTGGGAGGACTTCGTTGAGATATGGTTACTAATATGGTAACCATATCTCCGCTCCCCCCTCTCTGCCCTGATAAAGGTTTCCTCTGGGTGGTCAGGTGTGACCGTAGGGAAGCTGGTGATCCGGTGTAGAGTGTGGGTGTGTGGAGGGCAGGCTGCAGCCAGCTTCAGCTGGCCCTGTGGCTTTCGGATTCTGCAGAACATAGAGGCATGGTCGGGTGACAATAGGGGACCCGCTGAGCTGACTGGATACAGAATAGCAGCCACCTCAGCACAGGTTGCTGTGGGCATACTGTGTGCTGGGAGCTGTAAGATAAAAATCTTGTTTCATCTCGTGCCGGGCCTCAAGCTGCGGTTCTGGGCATGTGTCTCCAGGGCCTGGGACCATGCCTGGCACATGGCAGGCCCTCAGTGAACACTATTGAAAGAACCGAATGAATCACACTTACAATAAACGAGAAAACCGAAAATTCAGAGAAGAGGGTCCCCAAGACCATATCGACAGTAGGAGGAGAAACACACACACACACACACACACACACACACACACACAAAGCTGTGCATTTCTAAAGCGAAAGTTCTGTCCTCTACACCACATTCCGCCCCCTGTGGTGTTCTGGGTTTGTGTACCAAGACTTCTTTGCCTCAAAAGAACTACATCTTAACACCTTGTGTCTGTTTTCTTAAGCACCAGGCCTCTTCTACTTATGATGCTATATATATATATGTGTGTGTGTGTGTGTGTGTGTGTGTATCATATATGTGTGTGTGTATCATATATGTGTGTGTGTGTGTATATACATATACATGTATTTTTATTCTTTTCTTTATTCTTGCATATGCTAAAAATTCTTTTTTTAAAAAAATATATTTTATTGATTTTCTTACAGAGAGAAAGGGAGAGAGATAGAGAGCTACAAACATCGACCAGCTGCCTCTTGCACACCCCCTACCGGTGATGTGCCCGCAACCAATGTACATGCCCTTGGCCAGAATCGAACCTGGGACCTTTCAGTCCGCAGACCGATGCTCTACTGCTGAGCCAAACCGGTTTCGGCTAAAAATTCTTTATCCTCATTACTTGGGGAGATGGTATGTGCATCTATTTGGAATTACAAGGCCAAATAAAAGGATCACTGAACACATTCATTACTTTATATGATCAGTATTTGCTTTCAATTCACACGGATGATTGAGCAGCTTTCCTGTGTATTATCCCACTAACCTCTTGACTTTTGAACTCTTTAAAAGTAGCATTACCCCCCACCCCCCACTTGGTGTCCCCTCACAGGGTCCTGAAAGCAAATGCTCCGTGTTTTCTGTAACTGAATGGAGTGTTTGTACGGTGGTGGGTACATTGTTCTGCCTGCCTGTTTCATGGAAACTCTCGGAGGATTTGACTAGGTTTGGTTACACCTCAGATACAGCTAAGGGCTTCCGAGACACATCATCTGTTTGCTTTCTGACTCGCTCCGACCTGGGAAACAGAATGTCAGTCGAGCGTGGTTCACGCCAGCCTGCTGGCCGCGGTGTTGAAGGTCGTTTGGTGTGCCGGTAGAGGTTTGTGGGTGCCATGAGTTGTAAGAGCAATCGTGATCCGCACAGAGTATCAGAGCCACTGTCGGTGTGTGGTGATGGAAGGCCTGGCACGCGGCAGGTTCCAGGCGGTTTCGGGATGCTTTCTGTCTTTCCCGTTCTCAGAGGAGCGCGCCACACCACAGCTTTCTCTTCCCGCACACGCCCTGCAGGGGAGAGGCTGATGAGCGTTGGTGGAGCTCAACAGACCTGAGTTCCACTTCCCATCCACCCACGCACTAGCTGGGGTACCTGGAGCCAAGTTCCTTAACCTCTCCGGGTTTCCAATTCCTCCTCCTTCACCGGGCGCTCACACCACACGTTTCTCAGGGGGGCCAGGGGGATTCACAGCTGAGCACCTGGGGTGTGTTCCTTCACCGGGGGCTACTGCTGCCCTATTGATGTAGCCACAGGCACTGCTGCGGCTGCAGGTGAGACAGCGAAGGCAGAGAGCCATGCTGTGTGAGGAGGGAGGTGGGGGGCCTCCACGTCACTCCTGACCACATACCTGTCTTTCCCCAGAGCCCTGAGGATGACGACAGGAAGGTCCGAAGGAGAGAGAAAAACCGCGTTGCTGCTCAAAGAAGTCGGAAGAAGCAGACCCAGAAGGCTGACAAACTCCATGAGGTGAGGCCGTGGTCAGAGCAGAGCCACGCTAGGGCCATGGAGACCCTTGCATGTGGCCGTGGCCCCGAGGTCACGTCCAGGTCATCACCAGTGTGGCCACGTGCACCTCTAATTCTGCTCCGTGCTTCCAGCCCAGGGTTCCGGTTCTTTGCTCAGGGGCCTCTTCATTTCCCCTCATCCACTGGCTGCATCTCACACCCAGGTTTCTTTCTTTATAAGACTAAAAAGACCACAGAGTCCCTGTTGAGCCCAATTCCCTTTTTAGCTAGCGCCCTTTCCTTTCCTTCCCTCACTTTTCTGCTTCTAAATGAGAGACATGCTGGCTCTATGGCCTCAGACCCTTTTTATTCCCAGTCCTCTGATTTTGTTTCTGCCCTCTTCCCCACCCAACATGTCCCCATGTCCCCCCCTTCTCTCTCTCCCTCTCTCTCTCTCTCTCTCTCTCTCTCTCTCACACACACACACACACACACACACACACACACACACTTCCTGTAGAAGCTGCTCCTGCTGAGACCACTAGCTTCATCATCCTTGACTTTGCTGGACTATTTGACACCATTCTTTAGCTTCTAATAAAAAACAGAAAAACAAAACACAAAACAAAACAAAAACCACATCACCTACTTCTCCTGACCCTCTTAACCACTTTTTCCTCTCAATTTCTTTGTTAGATTTTTCTGTCTTTGCCTGTTTTCTTAAATGTTGTTGATCAGACTCTCACCCTGGAAAATTGAATCTTTAATCTGTTTTCCCAACATCAGTCACTCTGGGAAAGACCTCTGTTCTAGCCATAACCCCACATCTCCAGTTTCCCAATGGGTCTGCTGCAGGCTCCTCGCATGCTGACTGTATAATAGAGGCCTACTGACCCCGAGACGGTCTGTTCTCACTGTCTTCCATTTGTACTTAATGGAGCTAACCATCATTCCCATCACCCACATCTGGAACCTGGGGTTTATCCTAAACTCTTCCATTTCGCCTCAACCACCGTGCATAACCCCACATCATCTCAGAGCCAGGACATGGGACCTGCTCTCTATCAGGAACTGGCCTCAGAGGCATCCAACAGTCTATCCGAGGAGCGGGGGCCCATTCCGAGCTCTCGTCTTTGTCCAGAGCTGGTGTGAATAATTACAATTTTAGTTGAGCTCTCTGCTGCCAAGCTTTTCTTGCTATAGATTGTCTCAGCAATCCAGTCTGGGGGCGTGGACGGCAGAGGAGGAGACCGGGATGTTGGGAGGGGGAATGACAATCTCTGAAAACCCTTTAACAATGAAGAGAGAACCGAGTTAGGATGTGCATACTCCAGGGAGAGGAGACCCACCGATACAGCTTCCCAGCGTGGCTGGGCTCTGGGCTCTTCAGACTGGGGTCAGGGAAGGTCCTTCCCAGCTTTGATTAGTTCCATAACCTTTCCTCAGAAGAACTGCAGTGCCCTCTGCCTCTTTTCTCCCTCCGCTCTTGCTCCTAAAGCTGTCCTGCTTCTAGCTCCCTGTCACCGAGGAACCCCTGGAAGGGACGTGGGGCTCACAGTGCATGGCCCTGTGCTAGGACACGTGCCAGTCGGGCAGCTCGGGTCTTTCCCCTCAAGAAGCTTCTAGTCCAAGGCAGCTACATTCATATAAAAAACACAAGAGGGGTTTCCCGAACTGGTTTGGCTCAGTGGTAGAGCGTCAGCCTGTGGACTCAAGGGTCCCAGGTTCGATTCCTGTCAAGGGCATGTACATTGGTTTCGGGCACATACCCAGTAGGGAGTGCGCTGGAGGCAGCTGATCAATGTTTCCCCGTCATCGTTCTTTCTAACTCTCTATCCCTCTCTCTTCCTCTCTGTTAAAAAAAAATAATAAATAAATAAAAATTAAAATATATATACACACACACACACACACACACACACACACACACACACATATATATATAATAAAGAGGAAACACAAGAGGACACTCAGTGTTAGGTCCTGAGCGATTATGTGTGTAGAGGCGACTGAATGACTTGAACAAGATCGTTCGTAGAGAAAGGTCAAGTAGATGCACCTCAGAAACATTTATTAAGCACTGCTGTGGGCATTGTGATTGGACCACAAAGGGAGGAGTAAGGTCTCATTATTCCTGTCCTTGGGAAGCACAGGAATTTCTAGGGAATGTGTATTAGTTTCCTGTGGCTGATATAACAAATTAGAACAAACTTGGTGGCTTAAAACAACACAGACTTATTATCTGACAGTTTGGGAGGTCAGGTGTCTGAAATGGATCTCACGGGGCTAACATCAAGGTGTCGACAGGGCTGTGTTCTTTCTGGAGGCTCTGGATAAGAATTCATCTCCTCGCTTTTTCCAACTTCTAGAAGCTTCTGTGTCCCTTGGCTTGTGGTCTCTTTCCATTTTCAAAGCCAGCTGGCCAGTTGAGTCTCTCTTATGCTGCATTGCTCTGACATTTTCCCCCATGGTCACATATCCTTTTCTGATTCCTTAAAAAAGACTCTTGTGATTAATTGGGTCCACCTGCAGAATCCAGGTTAACCTCCCCATTTTAAGATTCTTGACTTAATCACATCTGCAAAGATCCTGTTGCCACTTCAAGTAACATATTCACAAGTTCCAAAGAGTGGATTTGAACATCTTTTGCGGGGGGGGGGGGGCTGTTATTCTATCACAGAAAGCAACAGAACTAATTTACTACAGAGTTAAGACAAGGTGTCTCTCAATTTCTGTCACTGTTTGAGTCAATGACCACACGAACCAGGGGCCTGGGAAACTTAGGGCTGGTGCCACACGCACTCCCACAGGCTCCCTCTTAGAACCGCAGGCGGAGGGCCCTTCGGCGGGGCTCCTAGCCTGTTCTGCTGTTCACAGACAGGACTGATCCTGCCAGGTATCCATTTCCAGAAATGGGCTGGTCAGTCGATCTGAAAGCTGGTCCCTCCGTGGAAGGACACTCCCTTCTCGCCTTCCTGTGTGGAGCTAGAAGAATGCATGAGGACTGTGCACCTGGCAGAGCCCCTCAGTGAGACCACTTTGGTTGAAAACCACAGCAGCTAGGAGGAGGCCAGGACAGTGGCCCCATCCGTCTACCGACCCCAAAGCTGGAGGCCTTCAGCTGTCACTAACCACAGCCACGTCACTGGTCACAGAGCGGGTGAGGGAGCCGGGGCTGGGCTCAGGAAAATGGAAATATCCAGTCCTTCAGTAGAAGAGGAGGAGCAGCGTCTCTGGCCCACTTAAATAACCCCTCCTGCTCCATTCCTTGCCTCCTTCCAGGGAGCACGTCGTAGTTTGGGGATCTAGGTTCTTTCTATATGGCCAACGTAGTAAAAGAAAAAGAAAAAAGAAAAAAGTAAATGTAGTAAAAACTAGAGGCCTGTTGCCGGAAGAGATTTGTGCAATAGGCCTTCCTTCCCTTGGCTTCCAGCTCCGGTTTTCCTCCGGCACCCGGGACCCAGGCCTTCGCTCCGGCCGGAGTCTGCTTTCTTTGTCTTTGCTGCAAGCTCTGGCCTGAGTCTGCTGTCTTAGTCTTCACTGCAGACTCCGATTGGAGTCTGCCATCTTCGTCTTCACTGCGGCCGGAGTGCCACTCCTATAGATCCCTTTGCCCCCTCTCCCTGCCCTCCCTCTCATAGCAGGTGTCCTGCCCTGCCTGGCCACTCCAGCTGTCCTTTTAATTTGCATATTGCCTCCTGATTGGCTGGTGGGTGTAGCGGAGTGATGGACAATTTGCATGTTTCTCTTTTATTAGTGCAGATAGACTATATTTTATTTTTTTTTAAATATATTTTATTGATTTTTGTACAGAGAGGAAGGGAGAGAGATAGAGAGTTAGAAACATCGATGAGAGAGAGTCATCGATCAGCTGCCTCTTGCACACCCCCTACTGGGGATATGCCCGCAACCAAGGTACATGCCCTTGACCGGAATCGAACCCGGGACCTTTCAGTCCCCAAGCCGACGCTCTATCCATTGAGCCAAACCAGTCTCGGCGATAGACTATATTTTAAACATTGGGAAAAGAATCTTCATATTGGGGATAGGGCATCTGATAAAAAAAAATGTGGTGAGTTGAGGGCGGAGCACCTAGCATACTGCTGTCAGCCATGGCAGAAAGCCCCTCAGGCCCCCTGGGGCTCCCAGGCCACGGGTAGGATGGGAAAGTGAGAGGGGACACTGTGTGGAGGGGCCAGCTCACTGGGAGATACCCAGGAGCAGGAAGCAGCCATGCGCACTCCTCCCTCCGGAGATTTGAGAAAAGTCCCTGTCCCATAGATGCCTCTCTCCTAGACTCTGGGTAGCGCTGCTAAACATCTCAGAGTCACTCAAGATCTTTATTTGCCTTTCTTGAATACCCAGAAGGGGAATATTTAGAGCAAGACTTTTAAAACTCCCACCTTTGCCGAAACTGGTTTGGCCTGCAGATTGGAAGGTCCCAGGTTCGATTCCGGTCAAGGGCATGTACCTTGGTTGCGGTCACATCCCCGGTAGGGGGTGTGCAAGAGGCAGATGATCAATGATTCTCTTTCATCGATGTTTCTAACTCTCTATCCCTCTCTTTTCCTCTCTGTAAAAAATCAATAAAATATATATATTTTTAAATGTGAAAAAAAAAAAAAATCCCACCTTTTTCCTCTGCCCACCTCACTCACTCACCTCTTCCAGTTCCATCTCACCTAAGTCTCTCGGCCACCAGTTCTCCTTTGCCAAAGCCAGTTCTCCTTTGCCAAAGCCAGAGGACTGTCCTTCCAGGTGGGCCTCCTCTTGGAGGGCAGGCCCGGGGGTGAGGGGATGGAAGGGGGGGTGAGCAGAGCCAGGACAGGCCAAGCCAGGGGAGAGTTTCCCCCTCAGGGTAGCAGTTGCTGGAAGTCGGGCTGCAGTGATGAGCAGCAGTTACCCATGTGTGTCTGTGGACCTCAGTGCTCTCTGTGGCTTTTCAAAGCATCCCTTCACGGCGCTGACACCTCCCGTGGGGATTTCGACCCCTATTCATCTCTGGACGGCAGGCACACGCCTGAGTCCACAGTCACAAACAGGAACGGAGTGAACAGTCCAGCGCCCCCAAGGCAGAGGCTGAAAGAAAGGCCCTGGTTTCAGAAGTGGGTCAGACTGGTTGGCGCTCGGCACTGGAAGGTGTAAGACTGAGAAAGACTTCTGAGTCAGAGAAGGAAGGCAGTGATGCCACCCTTCGGAGCCCCTAAATGTCACAAACGGACGCGTTTCTTGAGTAATACGGTTGTGGTATGTGTTGCCACGGTGGTTCCAGATAATTGCGTTTTCTAAGAGAAGGCTTCATGTCAGTCCCCACTTGGTTTAGAAACCGGTGATGACACTAAAGTTTACAGCCCTTGCTGGTGACACATGCCTCTGCTGGGAAGGGGATCCGTGCAGGGTTTGGGAATAGATTAATTGTAAAATCCTGAGCGCTGACAGCCCTTTTCTGCTGGTAACCACCACCATGGGGAAATTGGCAGTCCAGGCCCGGCCACGTGAAGGTTGACTTGCTGTCCTTGCATAAGCATCGCCATTGACCTTGAAATCGGGGGTCAGGCTCAGGTCTACATGACCTTGGAAAAGTCACAGGGCCTCTCCGAGTTTCAGTTTCTTGCATGGGAAATGGGGTCTGTGTGTGGCTGTGTTCTCCGGATGGCCATTTCCTCTCCCTCCTGTCCTTTCCTGCCTTAGTCATCACTTCTGGTCCCTGGTCCCCTCATTGTCTTTTTCACCAGTCCTGCTCCTTCCCTCTGCCTCAGAGGCCTCCTGAACCCTGACTATCCCAGACAGCCCCACAGCCCCCAGTCAATCTCTCTTAGATGCCCAGACCAGGCTTGCTCAACCTTGGGATCAGGTAATTCCTTGTTGGGGGAGTGGGGGAGGGGGGAGAGCTGTCCTGTGCACTGTAGACCCTTAAGCAGCATCCCTGGCCTCCGCCCTCTAGATGCAGTAGCACCCCTCCCCCAAACCAGTCTCCAGATACTCTAGGTGTCCCCGGGGACTGACATATTGTCCCCCTTGAGAATCACTGCCCTCGACAGCTCCATTTCTGAGCAGAACTGGGACTTGCAGTGACCTCACCACCTCTCATTTGTAGGTCTCGGCCTTCTGACCACATCCTGGCAGATGCCCAGGCAGGCCGCCCAGTATTCTCAAAGCCTCCTGAGGCAAAGGACTTCCTCACTCACCTCCAACACCGGTCGTGGAGCTAAACCGAGCATCTCTTTGGAAATGGCAAAGGGCCTCATGTTGTTGATGATTTTTCATGGCTGCAAAGTCCAGGGGATTTCTTCTCAGTCTGAAGGGGGTCTTACTCTTTCCCCCGTGTCCCCTCTCTGTGTCCTCTCCCCTCGGCTCCCTCCCTTCTTTTATTCTGGTAGCACTGGTCTCACCTGAAGAAGATTTTTACTTCTCTCTTTCTTATTCACGCAGCCCTATAAAAGTCCCTCAGCATATTTGTGAGTAAAACTTAAATCTCAGAGGAGAAAGTCCCCTCGGAGAAGGCGGGCGAGGGGCCTGCCGGGTGCCTGTGCAGGCAGCTCTGGGCCCTTCCGCGCTGGGGTTTGGGGGAGAGCAGTGGTACCTTCAGCGGCAGGACTCCGTGGGGCTTCCAGAGACAAAGCTCGGAAGCTCACAGCGTCTCGCCACAACATGCCGTCAATATGGAAAGTCAGTTTGGAGTGTTTGCCACAAGAGGAGCGCTTCCTGTTCTTTGGAACCCTGCTTAAACGTTAGCTCGTTGAAACCATTCATATCCATTCTCTGTTTACTTGAAGTGGGGGGCATTTCTGGGTGTGTGTGTGTGTGTGTGTGTGTGTGTGTGTGTGAGCCTCTCACCCTCTGCTGTAGGCAGGCTTCCACCCCCCTCCTCCGATCCAGAGACCTTCCCCTTGCTCATGGGGGGCTTGGTTGCTGTGTTTGTCGACTGAATTCTGACTCTGGGACTGCAGCTAGCCAGAGGCCAGAAGAGAGCATGGGGAGCTGGAGGAGGGCTGAGGGCAGAACAGGGCCAATGTCCTAGGACAACCTGTGGGGAGAAGGGGTGAGGCCTGCTGCCTTGCGGAGTATTCCAGACCATCCTGAGAGCCTGCCCAGGAGAGGCAGGAGGCAGAGGACAGCAGTGGCAGTCGGGATCAGAGCAATCAGCCCCTTTGGGCCCCTTGTTCTTAGAGGGGGGAAGATGTCTGCAGGGGAGGGAGGGAAGGAAGTGGGTGAGAGAGGGAGACAGAGGGCTGAGGGGACCCTGAGCACTGGGGCCTGTCAGGTGGGGTACAGGAGGAGGTAGCAGAGGCCCTGGGTGCTGTGTACATTTCTGATCTTTGGAGAGAGACCTTACTTAAGTATGACTGAATATGATACAAGACTGAAGAAGACACACATAATAAGAGATGTTTCCATTGGGTGCTATGATCATGGAAGCCTTCCTGGAGGTGGTGGGCTTGAACTGGACCCACAGAGAAAAAGAGGAAGGCAGTCCAGGGGCAGAGTTGAGAATTTGCATGCACCTTAAGAGCCCTATATAATATATATATAGTGATATTTCTTAAAAATGACTAGTAAAATAAAAGGTGTGATAGATAACAAGGTTGGGCCCTCTGCTCAGGAAACATGGTGCGCCTGGCACAACAAAGCTCAATAGTGTGAATCTAGAAATGACTGTAAACAACATTTCAGCAAGACTTAACTAAGGTTGTCAGCCTTAAGAGGGCCTCTGCCACTGGCCAAGTACTGCAGAACGTATTCATGACTTGGAGGAAGGAAAGGAAGACCTGCTTGGCCTGCTTACCAAGCTTGTGGACAGCTTAAATGAAGCTTGTGGTCTCACTAATCTAGGGGCCAATCAAGATTCTGAAGGACTTGCTAGGCGGGAAAATGCTCACGGGAACCGGGTGAAAGGCAGTAGAGGTGGGTGTGAGGCCCGTCTTTAAGCTCCAAAAGATCAATCGTCCTTAAAGTACAGACAAAGAAGCAGCCGATGCAAACAGAGCTTGCACTTCTCTGCATGCTCAGGGGGGAGTCCCCGGAGCGGGGTGGCTGTGGCTTGGGTCCAGCCCCGTGCAGATCACCCGCACCATCTGCCCTCTGCGGGGCCAGGCCATCCCTGGGATCATGCACTGCATGCTGGGAAGGATACTCTCTCAGAGCCCCTGGCACATGGGAGCATGTGTGTTGGATGGCATCCAAGAGGACACAGGGGCGAGGTGTCCCACAACCCGAGGAGCCCAAAGGACCTGCGACCGTTGAGCTCAGAGAATACCTAAAGGGAAGTGGTATGGGGCTGCCTCCTGACATTTCAAGAACTGCGATGTTGAAAAAGTATTGCATTTACTCTGTGTGGTTCCCTAAGGTGGAACCAAGCCCCATAGGTGGGTTTGAAGGAGAGAGAGTTTTTGGATCAGTTGCAACGTGGCACTTCCTCCTAGAGCAGCTCAGAAACGGCGGGGACCCTCCTTTGGAGGAGAGAATGCTCAGCGCTGGCTGGGCGTCTGGGCTAGAATCACACAGGGACGGAGTCTCTACAACGTGTGCGTTTGAGAGAGACCTTATTAAGGAGACCTTAGCCGCGAAGGGGTCTCTGTGATCCCCTTTGGTTCTAAGCCCCTGTCAACAATGATGTAGAGGAAAGTTAACACACGAGTAATTGGAGCAAAGCCAGAGCAAGGGGTGTTCTCATTCCTTGACTCAGTCCTCAGCAGACACGTGTTGTGTTCGAGGCACTGGTCCAGGTGCTGGGGCCATAGCAGTGAACCCAGCAGAGACCTTTGGAAAACGGGTCAGCACTTGGGGGAAGTGGAGGCTCACGAGGGCACTAGGGAACTTTCTGGAGCGGTGGAAGCATTCTGTCTCGATCCACGTAGTTATTTACAGTTTGTCAAAACTCCCTGAATTATACACACAAGGTAGGCGTGTTTTGTTTTCTGTAAATTACACCTCATGGAGTTTTTTGGACAAAGGCCTGCCCCCCTGACCTTTTCCTCTTGGCGGGAGAGGACAGAGTAAGCCAGTGACCAAACCCTCGGGAGAGGCGGAAGGGGGGCAGGTAAATGAGAAGGTTTTCGTGGAAAGGAGACGCGCGTCACCGCGCGGGGTGGATCTGCCAGGAGGACGGGGAAGAAATGAAGTCGCTCCTTCCCTCTCCCCCAGGAGTACGAGTGCCTGGAGCAAGAAAACACTCTGCTGCAGCGGGAGATCGGGAAGCTGCGGGAGGAGCTGCGGCACCTGAGCGAGGCGCTGAAGGAGCACGAGAAGATGTGCCCGCTGCTGCTGTGCCCCGTGAACTTCGTGCCCGTGCTGCGGCCGGACCCCGTGGCCGGCTGCCTGCCCCGGTGAAGCGCGGCCAGGAGCCTGGTCCTTCTCATGCCGGCGAGCGGGGTTTCCTCCGGCCGCATCCAGGGGCCCTGCGGCTGGGCCTCCTGCATCGGTTCCTGTTCCCCAAGAGGCCGTGTCTGTTCTATCTCCTCGGCTTGTTTTGTGGCTCATGCGCCTTGGCCATCTTCCCCCGCAGCCAGATCCACGTTAGAGGGGGAGGCTCCTTGCCAGGCCTCCTCCTCCTCCTCGGCGCTCTGGGCCATGCCCACCGGGGCACCGGACTCTCAGAGCCTGGAAAGGATGGATCCACGTCGCCCAGGTTGGGAGACCACCCTCACGACTCACTCCACTTCCACTGTGGCAGCTACGAGGTTCTGCCGTTGTGCAGAATCGTCTTCTCTAGGATTGGGTAATAAAGGTAGTTATTGTTTCTCTTTTTGCCACGTTCTTGGGATTTATTTATGTTTAATTTTTTGTTGTTGTGCATTTTAGAGAGAGGGGAAGAAGGAGGGTCAGAGAGAGAAACATCAGCGAGAGAAATATTGATGGGCTGCCTCTTGCACGCACACCCCCTCCTGGGGAACCAGCCCACAACCCAAGCATGTGCCCTCCCAGGGAATCCAACCAGCAACCTCTTGGTGCACGGGTGGAAGCTCAACCACTGAGCCACACTGGCTGGGCACGTTCTTGGAGTTTAGAGACATAATGTATTTTCTCTTCCTGAGGGGGTGTCTGTTGTCTCCTCATGGGCCTTGCTTCCCCCTCCTGGTCATCTCCCCTGCAGCCTCATCCAAGCTGGGGGGCTACAGAGCAAAGGCCAAAGGGACTTCCCTGCCACCCCAGCTGGGTCACAGCTAGACCCGTTTAGCTTTCCTGACTGCTGATCTGCTCTGATCCCTACTGCCTCTGCTGTCCAGCTGGCTGCTCACCCACTCCGCTGCTAACCCCTGCGTGTCTGTACCTGCTGGCCCCCCTGGCCTGAGCCCCCAGTCCCACATAATAACTCAGGGACCAATCTCCTTCCATTTAGTTACTCTGTACCCCTAAGGCATTGCAGCCTTCTCTCCCCCCCCCCCCCCCCCCAATCCTCTACTCTGCCTGGGAGACTTAGGAGGAAGGGCCCATGGAGGCGGGTGGGGAGAGGCCACCTCTCGGAGGTGCAGTGAATCATTTTCTGCTCACACTCCGTGGGCCAGACCTCAATCCCACAGCCTCACCCAGCTCGAGGGGAGGGTGGGAAATGAAATTTGGTTTCATGCTCAGGGTGGAGGAACTGGATTTCATGACTTGGTCTCTGCCATAGAAGGTGCAGCCATTGCCCCTGCCACCTCACTGAAACTGCCCACTCCGAGGTCCCAGCAAGCTCCTTAACTTCCCAGCAGCCTAGGACAGTGGTCAGCAAACCTCAGCTCACGAGCCACATGCGGCTCTTTGGCCCCTTGAGTGTGGCTCTTCCACAAAATACCACGTGCGGGCGCACACGTACAGTGTGATTGAAACTTCGTGGCCCATGCGCAGAAGTCAGTTTTTGGCCTGGGCGAGTCTATTTTGAAGAAGTGGTGTTTGGACACTCAAGGGGCCAAAGAGCTGCATGTGGCTTGCGAGCCGCGGTTTGCCGACGAAGGGCCTAGGATACTGGCTTCTGTGTTTCTTCCTCTCTCTCTACTGCTTCTCAGTATAAAGGGGCTCCTCTTCTTGGGGCCTCAGTCCCCATCTCTTCCTCGACTGATACCTCCCCTTCCGTACGCAGAACCCAGCTCTCTCCTGCAGGCGACCTGCATGTGCAGCTTCCCCTCGTGCGTCTCACAAATGCGTCCGATCCACATGTCCAGAGCTGTACCTGTGACCCCATAGTCTTTCCTTCACACGTGCTTCTCAGTCTGTTTTCACCTGTTTTATAAAGGGCGCCATCGCTCCTCTGGTAGGCGGATGGACAGCGCAGGTGCCTAGGTGCCCAGAGAGCGGGGCTGCTTTCTGAGCATTCCACATCACATGTGATTCTTCCAAGTTCTTAATGCCCCCGACCCCCAGGTCCAGCCACGTTGCTCCCGTGTGCCGATGACCTGGTCTGCTATCAAGAACTTTATTTACATTAGCTGTTGAACACTGGGGGCTGCCTCCCTAAGTTGTGCATTCATGGAGGTTGAGCACACATTTAGGGACAGTTAGATCTTCACTTAAAAAAAAATATATATATATATATTGATTTTTAGAGAGAAAGGGAAAGGGATAGAGAGACAGAAATATCAATGATGAGAGAGAATCATTGATCAGCTGTCTCCTGCATGCGCCCCCAACACCCTCCGGGAATCAAGCCCGCAACCCAGACATGTGCCCTTGACCGGAATCGAACTCGGGACCCCTCAGTCCACAGGCCAATGCTCCATCCACTGAGCCAAACCAGCCAGGGCAGACCTTCACTTTTGATGTCTAAACGGTGCATTTGGAGTCAGGGAACCAAAACTAGGGTAGCCCAGGGTGTGAGTCATGGTTGGGGCCAAGTCCCCTCCAAGACAACTGGAGAAGTGATGAGAGTTCTGAAAACCAAATGCTCCCTGAGCTTGGCTGTGAAGAATTTTCTTGTGTCTATATATATATATATATATATATATATATATATATATATATATATATAAAATTGATTTTTACAGAGAGGAAGAGAGGGATAGAAAGCCAGAAACATCGATGAGAGAGAATCATTTATCAGCTGCCTTCTGCACACCCCTCACTGGGGATGTGCCCGCAACCAAGGTACATGCCCTTGACCGGAATCGAACCCGGGACCCTTCAGTCTCCAGGCCGACTCTCTATCCACTGAGCCAAATGGTTTCAGCACAAAGAATACCCTTATCAAGCTCCCATTGACATCGGGGCTCCTTCAGCTCCCCTAGGGTTTTTTTTTTTTTTTTTTTTTTTTTTTTTTTTTTTTTTTTTTTTTTTCCAGGAAGAGAGCTCTCTTAGCTGTGTGCACAGCGGCGTGTGCCTTGGCTGTTGGTTGGGTCCGGGAGGGGCAGGAGGCTGAGAAAGTGTCGGCGAGGGAGGAAGCCCTTCCTTCACGCCTACGCAGCTACACCACTTCCTGTCGGCGATCCTGCCCTTGCCTTGCACCGGCCCAGCCTTGAAGTCTGGGATTTCCAATCAGGCCCCAGTTTTCACCCCAAACCTTGGCTGAGAAATGATGACTCTAATGCACAGGAAAGTGAGAGACCCAAAACCCCCTCTCTTCTTTCCCATCAGTGCTCGGGTTTCCACAGTCACGTGGACTTACCAGGGCCGAGGGCTGTACCCCGGGCGGGAGCTAGACGAGAAGGGGCAGCCCCAGATCTCACTGACATGTCTCCCCACCCCTGGAGGATCTGGCAGAGTCATCCATGATACAGCAAGAAAGCTCATACTAGAAGGCCAGGGAGCAGAAGGAGAGAAGAATGGAAAGGAGAGAGAAAGAAGGGAAGGAAGAAGGGAAAGAGCAGGAGAGAGGGAAGAAGGTGATGGGGATCCTTGACCTCAGAACCGAAACCATCCCTGCTCCTGGGGAAGTTATGTGGGGTCCCCAGGAGGGAATGCTATTGAAAGCCCCTCCCCAGTCAGGCGACATCTCTTGGGGATTGAGAGGTGGAATCGCTGTTAACTGCTCTATGCAGAGTCATGGAAACATTCCTGGGACACCTCCTCCCTTACCTCCCTGCCCAACCATTTGGGACAAAGGAGGTCCATGCGGTTCCTTTGTCGCCATGGACACCATCACCATCAGCTGGTGCCGGTGTGTGCGGCGTGGCTTGCTGGAAGAGCTTGTGTCCTAAATCTGGGGCTGTGTTCAAGGCAGACTCTGCCCTGGAGCTGCGCATCTGCTCTTTTGGGTGCTCAGCACGACCTTTCCTGGTTCAATATTCTTAAGAAGATCAGAAATGTCATCACAGATCAAACAAAAGGCCACCAGCCCAGAATTCCAGCCACAGCACTGCGGGAAAGTGAGGGAGAGTCCAGTGTTAGCATTTGAAGACACCGTCCTTTAAATGCCAGAGGTGCCTCGGAACTTCCCTTAATAACCCACTATTTTATCTATTGTCTGTTCATCAAGGCTTGTCTTGCACTAGTTTAAGTTCTCCGCCACCGTGGGCAGGGCGTCAGCTTTCACTACAATCCAGGGTGACCCGCTAAGGTGCCGGGGCTCCGGGGCCGGGAGAGCAGGGCTGTTTTCTGACCATCCCAGCGTTCACCGAGCTTCCTTGCAATCTTTCCTCTACAGGAGGGAGGCAAGGCAAAAAAACCACAAAAAAACAAACAAAAAAAAACCACTTTCCCAAAAGTTGTAAACCCACTGAAGGCTCCATTTGCCTGGCAGTGCTTTTTGACTCTGAGAAAGTGAGAGAGTTTGAGACCCACCAGTGGAGACCAGCATCCAGAGTTTCAAGGGTGGCAAGATCCAGCGAATGCACCTCACAGCAGCTCTTGAACTATGGCAGGGAATTTGCTAGTGATTCGTTAATTATTACAGAATTTACTAGAAGTTAACTCCCTATTTTAACCAATTATTTATAATATTTATTCTGGCAATAAACCAATACATTTATTTATAAAAGTAAATAAATATGTAGTGTAAAATGATAAGATCATTTATTCATCGTCTGTTGTAATTACTTACTAATTAGGTAGTGTTCAAACGATCTGCAGTGATATATCCATTGTGAGTGTCGCAGGGAGCAGGACCAGCAGGGGAAGACACCCCAACACACACACACACATACACACACACACACACACACACACAAACACACACACCTCTTAAAGGGCCATCTTATCATATAACTTCTAAAATCTCACCTCTAGACCTGTCTCAGTTTGAGCAGAAGAAATTTCATGATATTTTTCATCTGGTTGAATCAACGAACACTCCTACCTAAATTCTAAACAACTATGAGACAGGGATCCTGTTTTATTTACCCATTTGACTCTGATTGCTAACCACAGCACCTACCACAGGTGACTAGCACTAACAGTGTCTGTTTGAACGACTGATTGAACGAATGGCTACTCCTTCCCTAGACTTCATCTCAGTTCAGTGCCTCACCCCCTTCCAACCCTCTAAAAATCACTTAATATTACTCTATCTATGATGTGAATTCCTCATTGCGGTTTCCCCATTTAAGAGCATGGACCTGACCTACTTCCTTTGTTCCTGTAATTCTTCATCTGGGTCAGTTTGCCTGTTGTAAATGAGGGATTCCCATAAGTCATCGGTGACGTTGCTTCATAAAGGCTCTGCAACAAGAGTCGAAAGTGACAATAGGCTGATGATGATAAGGTGGAGGCAGGGGATAGGAAATGGACAGGAAATGTGTTCCTTCAGTCATTGTCTTCAATTTTATTTAAATGTTGTAAATAGAGTTATACTTTTATTTTTTCTATAGTCCTTGCTATTTGTCTTTAGTATTTGCTTA